AAATATTATCAGTCATATGTTACATTTTTAACATAGTCAAAAGTTTATCAGCATCCAAATGCTCTCAGTTTGCATGAACATGAAAGTCTCCTCTTGCAATAGCAGTTTATCTGCCTGTTCAATTATGTGGCTTTCACCACTGAACACTCTGCTGCCTAGCAGTTTTCACAATTTATCGTGGTGCTCTCCTCTTGCAATAACCAAAGCTCCATGAGTCAGCTTGCAAGAATACTTATCACTGCTGAAATTAATACCTGCATCTACCATACTATCAGCGGAGATGAAATTTTTGGTAAACCCCAGAATATACATCACGTTCGGCATATTCTTGATTGTTCCATCATTCATCTTCAGCTTTACCTTTCCACTCCCCGCAATAGCATGAGTTGTGTCATCTCCCATTCTAGCCGTTCCGCTAGAATATGATTCATAGGTGCAGAACCATTTCCTATGAGCAGTGGCGGACCCAGGAAAATTTGTTTATGTCCGCACATTTAGTGGCGGGTGCCCCCGAATCTTTTTTGTAAAAAAAGTTTAAGTTAACGCTTAAACCCGCTCATAATCTAGTTGCTTCCATAACAAGCTGCAGGCAATATTTTGACCCATCATTTTTTCTCTTAAATCTTACCAATCCTCCAAAACAAATATGAAAATATACTTAAGTACATCCATACATCATCATTCTATTTTATAGTGGTGAATAAAAAAGTCAACACTATTTGTACAGAAGACAAGCAAAATCACAGTGAAGGCCTTGTCTAGAAAGGAAACAAAGGATGAAGAGAGCGTGAGAATGAGTACATGGTAGGGGAGGAAGAATAAGTTTTCTCTCTAATCAATTTGCGTTGCTACGTTGTTTTAATCATCTCCGTACGTTGCTAACTAATATAAGAATAAATATCATTTTTGGTCTCCAACAAAAAATTCGGTACCCACTTTAGTCTATTATAAAAAAAATAGTTACCTGGTCTTTATGAAATTTAAAGTGGACTCATTTTAGTCTTTTTGAGTAACTAATGTAGGTCTTTTTTGAATTAGTGACGAACCACGATTTTAACTAAATTGATTCACTTTGAATTTCGTAGGGACCTCGAGACTAATTTTTGATAAGAGACTAAAGTGGGGACCATGTTTTTTATTAGAAACTTAAAAGGATATTTACTCCTAATATAAATATTGAATGAACATACAAATAAATACCTACAAAGCTAAAAAAAAAAAAAAATTAAAATCCAAAATTTTATGTGGGCACTTGCGGACATTTGCCCATGGCTGGGTCCGCCAGTGCCTATGAGGTGTCATATGGAACAATGCTCCAGTGTCAATGATCTATTATTTGCAGTCGCTATGATTGTCGAACGCCATGTACAGGTCCTCTACACTATCTCCATCATTTTTCTTTGTACCAAAACTAGAAGGTGATGGATCTTCTCGCTTCTCAGGAGGACATACACTTTTATTTCTGCAATTCCCCTTCTAATGTCCAACCTATTTGCACCTTACTTCAGATTTATCATGGGACTTTGGCCATACCCTCAATTTTCCTCTGTGGCCAGACTTTGATATGTCACTACTCCTCCCTCTAACAACCAGAGTCTTATTGCTGGTACCTTCAGAACCTACCCTTCTCATATCCTCAGACAATAAGGTAGCGACAACCATCTCAAACGATAATTTATTAACACCAATACCAATTGACACAATGATGTGCTCCCAAAGTTGGGCAGTGAACACAACAAGGTGCAAGCTTTGTCTTCCTCATCCAGGTTGATGTCTATAGACAAAAGTTGTGCATAAATAGTAATAAATTCATTTAAATGAGCAGAGAAAGAATCACCTTCGCTTATCCGCAGATTATACAACCTCCTTTGCAAGAACAACTTGTTCATGAGTGACTTGCTTTGATAGAGGCCTCCCAGCTTCGTCCACAGATCCTTCACAGTTTTCTCAGAAGTTACGTTCACCATAATGTTATCTGCATAACCAGATCAGGCTTTACGCCTTTCGATCATCTCTGGTCCACACCTTCAACTTCTTCAACTCGCCTTCCTCTGACGTTCCATCTCCGACAGTATTCATTGGTACCGATGGCTTCTCATCTTCGATCACGTATCACACGTCCCTGTGAACGAACAAAACCTCCATCTTCAACTTCCATAACTCGAACCATTTTCCTCTGAACTTTTCAACCTCGACCCGTGATTGTCCCATCAATATCCTTTCTAGATCAATTTCGCAATTTCCTTTATGCCAAGAAAAATCCCATATCGTGAAACCTCACAATCTGTCACATGAACCCCAGTCACAGAATCAAAGCTCTTGATACCAAATGTTGAAAATCGAAGCACACACGAATCAAAAAACAAAAAAGAGAAAGGGAAGAGAGCAATCGACACAGTGATTTACCCTGGTTCACTCAATGTAGGCTACGTCCAGCTTGTTACTATATTCATCTCACCGCCACACGTTACAAGTCACTTGATTTACAAGGGAATAAAAATAAGATTTAGAAAATCCTAACAACAGCTATTTGTTGACTCATCAGCATGCAAAGTATAAGTCATACCCAACAATAGCTCGTATCTTAAAAAGTGCATCAATTGTTGATCTCTTTAAGGTAGACTAAGGAATTAGAAACTTTTAAAATGTAAAAAAATGGTCAATGAGTTAAAAAAATTAGTTATTGGTTAATTTTTGTAACCATAAATTTCAGGAGATATATTATTCTACCTACTTTTTTTCATACTTATTTCTCTTCAACACCATTATATTAGAATCTCAAGTAACATTTATTATTTCTTTCTCATTTTAAGATTATGATCTAACGGTATTGGAGATTGATAAGTAAGATAGACATAAAAAAAAAAGTTAGCCACAATATCATATCCCAAATTTCAGAACAGAAAACTAACAATTGAAGTTACGTTGGATATGAGATGAGTGAAATCAATATCTCAACATTTTCCCTTTGCATTATAAACACTAATTTTTTTATTTTTTTAAAAAACTTGTTGATAATTTGTATCGTTGTTTATTTCTTCTTTTGTCATTTTTTTTATAACATATTCTTTTGTCATTTATTTAACAAGTAAATCCGCTTTCATCCATTATATCTTCCGTTCAAATAGAGTTAAATAGTAAATCCCATATCATATTCGGGTTATGTTAGGGTATCTTGTTAAAAAATGTCACCTTAATAAAAATGCAACTTTTCAAATTTTCAACGAAAACGGACAATCCTCAAAAGATATACATTTTGATGCTCTGTGAGTCTATGCCCAAAAAAGTTACCAAAAAAAAAAAAGTTTAACACTATAATTAAAATCACGTTGTTAATGATTTTAATTATAATATTAATAAATATGAGAGAGGTATTCAAAAGAAATTATTTGATAGATTAATTTTTTCAATAATGTAGTGTAAAACAATTTCAATTTTTTTTTCTGGAATACAAGGAAAGTAAAAAAGAAAACAAAAACGAATCTAGATTAATTTTTTCAATTATGTAGTGTAAAAAAATCTCAATTTTTTTTCTGGAATACAAGGAAAGTAAAAAAGAAAAAAAAGAAAAAAGAAAACGAATCAATAACTACATAGTCTAAGTAGGCCAACTCCTGTAAGATTTTACTGTAAAAGGTGGTGGCAACTCAGAGGAGGGTGATCGAGAATCCTTAGGTCCCCATCATATGAACGAGTGAGTAACCCTATCAATCTGCCGTTTCGTTGTCTTCTCTATAAGCTAGAGTGAAAAAGATTTTGGCAGCTATAGACTATAATGCATTAAAAATGATCATATTCGACAGTTTATAAGAATTCATATATTTTTTATATTATTCTTAAACGTAATTCATGTTATTTTGCTTATCAATATTGCAGTGGCCGCCAAGAATATAAGAGATTAATATTTTTTATATTATATGAGAAAATTTTATCACTTATATACATATAAAAATATGTGAAGACTCATATATATATATATATATATATATATATATATATATATATATTATCCCATATAAATTTCATATATAAAAAATAAAATTATTTCTTATAACATAAAAAACTTTAATCCCGTAATATAATCATGTCGATTAATGTATAAGAATGTGGGGCTAGAATTGATATAAAATAAGCACTTGGGAAGGTGTTCGTGAGAAAATCGAGGCTCAACAATAGTCAAAAAAGTAAGAGGTCAGTGCGGTGGGCCACCCCAAAGTTATCATACTTAAAAAAGTGACCCCACCCCGTGACTGGCCCACATTTCCCGCGTGAAGACGTAAAGCACCATGGACCCAACCCAAGCCTCGTTTCCAAATCACTAAAGAAAAAAAGTGTCAACCTTTTACCGAAAAAAATTGCTAAACTCCAAATAAAAACACTTATTATGGAAAATTTTGTGCCCTTTCAATTGAAAAACTCACGCTGCATCCAGCGAAGCAATCTAGTTGTCTTTCTATGCTTGTATTAGTTTGACTTCATAGGCCTGAATTAAATATACTTTTCAAAAATCATATAAAATAATAACCCCAAATTTAGATAAATTTTCCAACATTGATAATTTATAGCACGTAAAAATAACGTGCATAAACATTATTACCCTTTTTATAACGACATTGTAAATAACAAATGTCGAATATTATACTATCAATCTATGGTATGTGAAAGAAGACTTGCACACCTTTGATCCTCAATTGGAGTTCAATGCTACACATTAGAGCACCAGATTGCCCTTTTCAAAGAGAGGCTTTTCTCCTTTCAAGTATCTCAAAGTTTAAGATACTTTTGTCAAATATACATGTGTAAAACCTATATGATTTTAGATAACTTTATGAACCCAAGAGGTGAAAAAAGCAAAAGAAAAAAAAAATGAGAAGAATCATAATCAATTGTTCCACTTTGTTATTCCCTGAACAAAAAGTAAAGAACAAAAAAATCCAGTTGTAATATCAATATGCCAAAATGGCAAATTAAGTATTCCAAATAACTTTTTCTCTCCCATTTTCGTAGGCAAGTTTCCTAGTCATTGCTTTGGGAAAACATAACCTAAGATTTGATCCTTTGCTTTGGCACTTATCATCATATATTTTTATCATCAAAAACAGATCAGAACAAATGGTGAATGAACAAGATTTAGAAGATTACAACTTGTAAATTTGATTAGGACATAAAGATTCCATAGTTTTTTTTTTCTCTCTCCCACATCTTTACATGCTCTCAACCAACTTCAACCTCTACACGCTAAAAAACACCTACTCATATGACTATTGTTGCAAAGGCTAAAATGATATAAACATGACATAGAAAAAGACAATAACTGAAGCCCGATAACAGGGTGGCATCTTTTTCTATCTCAGAACCTCGAACCCTTTTTCCTTCCTCACATGATTCCTCAACCCACCTGCAGAACCACCCAATTAGCCTCAAACATGAATAATACATATAAACAAAAAAAAAAATGGTCTGTTTCTAACTTTGAAACCTTAGAAATGCACGCAAAGTTGAAAATGATGACAAATGAACAACTAAGAAACAACAAAACAGATTAAATCAGTAATTAACCCCACAAGTCTTGGTCCTGCATATCTGGCAAGAAAATATTACATTGATGCTGCTGGACCCTCAAGAATCTGACATATAATGTAGAATAATGTTTTTTTTTTCCTTTTAATACAGATGAAAGTTCTTCTCAATTGTTACTTCAAACTTCTCTTTGTTATTCATTGTGATGAGAAGAGAAGAGAGATAAATAGAGAGGAAGCAAATAAATATTGAAAGCGACTAAATTAACCACAGTAACTGTACAACATTCAGTTTCTGAAACGAGAGTCATGAATGTAACTGAGAGAAAAGCTGTTTCTTTTATACAAATTAGCAGGAACCACAATCAATACAAAATGACAAAAAGATATTTCAACCCCATTCAACCAAAAATGAGGAAGAAAGAAAAAGAAAAACTGAAAAGAAAAAACAAATGACAATTGAAACAGAAAGAATCCAGAAAAAAAAACAGTAGATTGAAAGGATCAAATTATTTTCAATTGTATCAAGTGTGACCCAAGATTGTGCATATCTTGTTTTGGAATTTAGTTTCAAAAGGGTAGTGACAGATCTCTGTTAAAATCATCTTGTTAAGGAAAAAAAATGAAAAAAAAGTGATAAAAAAACTAAGCTTGTTTGATCTGAGACAAACCCAATTTATTACCTTCGGGCTTGCAATGAGGTGGATCTTCAAAAAGAGAAAGAGAAAGTTGCTTGTGAGCTAGGCCAATGTCAAAGAGTATCAACCCCGATGATGGATCATCAACTATGATGTCCTTAACAGGTAACCACACAAAAAGCTCTTCTTGTTGTAGACCCTCCACACCTATGAGGCTACCATAGGTGAGGTTAGCTGTTACAACACTTTCAAAGAAGACCCTGTTCTCGAACTTGGTCAAACAAGGTGCATCTAGGAACACTTCCAAACGACCATCTTCTGAGAAAGTGTAGGACTTTACCTCTTCTGGTAAGAGACCAGCTGGTAACCCTTTTGAGAGGAGAAGATCATGAATGGAGGAGGAGAGAGAAAGTGAGGGACATAGGAGAAGGATGATGAGAGAGAGTGATAGAAAGACTGTGATGAGAGTGTTAAAGAATGCCATGGTTGCTTAGACCAAAAAGAGAAAGGAACATGGGGGGTTTAAGGGGGGAGTTTCTTTTGAGAATAGAAGAGGGTAGAAAATGTTAAGACTTGTTTTAAGGAAAAAGTCGATGAATTTGTGGAGTGACTATGTTGCCCTTTTGGTTGGTGACTCTGGTTATCTCTGTGGGTCTTTTGATTCTTTTAGTGGGTTTAAATTTGCAACCATATTTTTATGTCTCGTACTGTTCTACTCAAACTATCTCAAGTTTCAACTACATCTTACGATTGATTTGTTTTTATGCTTTGTGAATGTGTGTTGGTTCTTTGCTTTATGTAGGTTATAACTTATCTTGAAAGTTCAAAGCATTGTTAGTAGGCTTTTTGATTCTTTTGCCCCTCATTAATTAATTAATAACCAATTTGCCCCTGATCAAGAACTATCCACCAACCTGCCCCCTTTTAGTCGACTACCTTGTTGTTTTAGTCGAGCAAATAGTCAATCTTCAGAAAGTGGACTACCGCAAATTTAGTCGACTAAAAAATCATCTTAATCGACTACATTTTTGGGATATTTAGTCGACTAAGTAACGATATTCAGTCGACTAAATGTCGACTGAAACCCTATATTTTCCATGTTTTCGGTCTCATTTCGATTGTTGTTGTTGTGTAAACCTAAATAGCTCCCTTTGTTCATGTGTAATCCTCTCAATCCGATTGTATTTCATCCCACCATCTCTACAGACCTAATATTGTGAAATCATTGTCATTGCCCAATTCCAAACCCCAAAATCCGAACCCAAACCCCCAATTTCAGAACCCAAGTCCCAATTTCGTGAGGAAGATGAGCACAAGTCCAAACATGTATGTGACAATGATCTACTATGATGGAAAGCATTATGAAGGCCCCAATGGTGTTCAATTTGAAGGAAAAACGAAAATGTTGAAAATCAAACGGGGCACTACATACAATGAGTTAAAGGAGAGAATTCAGCAAAAATTGGGTTTGCAAGGCAGCCAATGCGTTCAACGGATGATTGCCAGGGTAGAGACAACAGTTGGTAAGGATGCTATTTACTACATTGGTAACGATATATGTGATGATGAAGATGTCGAATGTGTCATAGATGCAATTGTTGACCGAAAATTTCAAAATTTTATTGAGATATATGTTGAATTAGATTGTGGTCAATCTTCATCTGCACCCATGCATACAAGAAGTGAACCGTATTTTGGTCATGAAGAAAGAGTAGTCGATTTATCTGCACCTGCACATGTCATAAGTCAGATAACACTGCGGGAAATAGATGAGGATGAACAGGATGCCGATATGGACAGCGATGAGGACGGTGAACCTGAGAGTGTTATTCCGCTAGGTGACACGTCAGATACTGACGTAGAAGGTGATTTCGACGCTGACACAAGCTCACCATCCCCGGGTTCGCAGGTTATGAGACCACTTCGTGTTGACCCTGTTAGCAGTGGTAAGATTTGTTTTTTAAAGATTTAATTTAGCAATTATTTTTTTTGTTATGAATGGTATTGACGGTGGCATTATAATGCATCCGTAGGTTCTGAGGTCGAGCCATTTTGGAATGAAAGCTCACATTATACCTTCATTAATTGGGCCCACCCTAATGATGAGACAGAGATATTGTATGGTGACGATGATGATCACGGTGGCTGGCAATTAGGGGATCCTTTATATTTGTATCAGGAGTTTCGTAGCAAATCTGAAATGCAACATGCAGTCAAATTATATTGTATGAAGGCTCACCGTACTGCCGTTGTGGCAAAAAGTGATGACCATAGATTTGTGATGAAGTGTCGACACCATAATGATGGATGTCCCTGGTATGTGAGGGCATTGTTGCCGAAGAATGGAAATACTTGGGTGGTTAGTAAATGGGTTAAAGAACACACCTGCCTAAACCAAGGTCTTACCCGGGATCATAGACAGTTGGATTCTGATGTGATATGTGCAACCATTATCAGTATGTATTATTCGATATATCTAACTTCCTAAGGTATGTTTACGTTAATCAGTTTGTATTCTGACTGTTGGTCGGTGTTTTTTTTTATATAGGTATGTTAAAAGAAGATCCATCATTGAAGCCAGTTCTTATTCAAGAGAGGGTACAACGTTTGTATGGATACAACATATCTTACAGGAAAGCTTGGAAGGCTAAAATGAAAGCCATTGTCAAGTTATTTGGCGACTGGGATAAATCGTATGCATTCTTGCCTGGTTGGCTGACATACATGACGCAGGTTAATGTGGGTTATGTGTTCAAGATTGATACGGACCAATGTGTTGATGAACATCGAGTGTATACGGATAAGGCTGTCTTTCACCGAGTATTTTGGACCTTTCACCAGTGCATTGAGGCCTTCAAATATTGTAAACCCATAATCCAAATTGATGGCACGCATTTGTACGGTAAATACAAAGGAACTCTTTTGATTGCAACTTCACAAGATGGAGATGGTTACATTCTCCCTATTGCATTTGCTATTGTTCCTCCGGGTGAGAGATTGGATGATTGGTCGTGGTTTCTTAGCCTCATGCGTTTTCACGTCACGCATAAGCATGGCATTTGTCTAATATCCGATAGTCATCCCAGCATCATCAGGGCTGTAAGAGATCATGCCGGTTGGCAGCCACCATTTGCATATCATGTGTTTTGTCTACGCCACATCGGAAGCAACTTTAACACTAAGTTTAGAGATGTGGAATTAAAGAAAACCCTGATGAAGCTAGGTACAATCTTCTTTTTAATATGTACAAATTGTATATAATTCATCCTTTTGTATCTAACGCATCATTTTGTATTCCAGGGTACTTGAGTTCAAAGATTCATTTTGATATCAGATTCCAGGAATTTATCGACAGTGACCCTTAAGTAGCTTCATGGATAGATCAGATTCCCAAAGAAAAATGGTGCAGGTCTTACGATGAGGAGGGTCAGAGGTTTGGTCACATGACGACTAACTTATCTGAGTGTGTGAATAAGGTCCTGAAGGGTGCACGTAATTTGCCTATAACAGCATTGGTGAAGATGACTCAAAGTAGACTTGTTGAGTATTTCGTCAAGAGACGTGAAAAGATCCAAAAGGCAAAGACAAAGGGTTGGAGAATTGCAAAAAAAGTTGAGGATATCATCCAAAAAAATGATCAATTAACAGTGAGCCTCCGTGTGCGGGTTTTTGATAGGGACCTGCAGCTATTTGAAGTTGAGGATGCCTACAATCAATCAACTCATGATGCAGGTGACATAATGAGGGTGGACTTGCTCAATCGCAAATGTCAATGTGGACGGTTCACATCAAGAAGATTTCCTTGCAGTCGTCTTAGCGGTGTGCAAGGTAGAAAAGTTGAACCACTATGATTATGTTGATCCTGTGTTCTCAATTGCACAAATTGATAAGGTATATGCTGCACATTGTTATCCAATGGGCAATGAGTTGTTGATTCCACAAATTGATGGCCCAACCATTATCCCAAATGCATCTTTGGTACGTGCACAAGGAAGACCCAAATCGTCAAGGATACAAAATGAGATGGATTGGGTTGAGTCTCAACCGACAAGCAGTCAGAGTAGATGTAGCCTGTGTAAGCAAATTGGTCACAACAAACATACATGTCCTATGAGGATTCCCAATACAAGATGAATTGCGGAGGAAGCAGGGGAGGGGCTTAATGTTTTGATGGTTTAACATTATAGGCATTTATGGTTTTATATGCTTGTATTTGATGTCATGATGTTTGTATTTGAATGTAATGACGGTGCTATGTTTGTATTTGATGTCATGATGTTTGTATTTGAATGTAATGACGGTGCTATGTTTGTATTTGATGTCATGATATTTGTATTTGACTCATCTTAGTTTTTTGACTCGGAAATTATGCTCCCTAAGTCACACTCCCTTAGTGGATCAGTGTAGAGTGGAAACCTAGGGCAAAAAACATGTGAAATTATGGATTTGGGGTCCTAAACCAACAATTTAGTCGATTAACCTGTACTGGTTTAGTCGACTAGGTTAGGGTGGACTAAACCAGTACGAATTACTGGTTTAGAATCATTTACATTGGTAAAACATGGTTTTTCAGCAACAGTGAGTGCCCAACCACTCCACTGATTTTCAGCAACCACTCCAACCACTTCCACATTTTTTCAACAATTATCCACAACGGTAAAAAAATCTCAACAGCCCAGATTTTGTGCACATTACTATTATCTAACACCTTGATGGTAAGGGTCTATATATGATGTGGCTTCAGACTTTTGGGGTCACTGAACTCATTCTTGGATTATTGCTATACATCATATGTGCCTCAGATCTAGAGTTTGGAAAACACAAAGAACACACAAACTACTTCAACTCATTTTCAGAGCAAGCAAGGAAAGCAATAGCGGCATGTATTTATGACTTAATTTTTTCGCATTTGATTTAATTGCTTCTGTTGTGTATGAGCATGATTAGATCATAAAGCTATGTTAGACCTTATATTTGATATCAGAGCCCTCTTTGCCTCTGCCTCTAGTGTGTGTTTGGTTATGCCTCAACTAATTTGATGTTTTTGGAATAATTTTTTTTGATATTTCTGGACAAAAATCATGAATTTTTAGGCAAAAATGACCAAAAACCATTCGATTTTCATTCTGGGTCGAAACCGGGTCAGAGCGACCCAGCTGAAAGTTAAAGACATTGGAGTGAATCATGGTTTTTGTTACTGTTAATGTTTCATGTTTTGAAATTGTTATTGTTCATGTTTTGAAATTATTGATTTTCTTGATTTCATGATGTTGTTATTCATATTTGGAATTTGCATTATGATATTAAATGTTGTGTTATGATATTATGACTTGGCAATTGAAGAAATAAAAAATTGCATGAGATGAGAATTGAACCCATGGCTACCTACATGGATAGATAATACTTTGCCAATTGAACTAATGACAATTTTATTATATATATTCACATGAATTATTATTATTTTGTCATTACACGTACATGTAATATTAAGATGATTAATGTGAATGGTTAATTATGTAATATTATTGTTTATGG